TGAGCCCAGGAGTTGGCAGTTGCTGTGAGCTGTGATGCCACAGCACTCTACCCAGGGGGATAGCTTGAGGCTCTGTCTCAAAAAAAAAAAAAATCATGCGATTATATTTCAAAGCTTTCTACAACATGTATTTTATATAAATTAAAATTATCATTCTAGTCATGATATGATGAGCAGCCTACATCTACTGAACATTTGTTATTTTCCTATCTAGTAAGATTTAATATTTTCTTAATTTCATAGGTAGGAAAACTGAGATACAAAGAAACTTAAGGAGTACCCAGACAATCTGACTTCTGATTCTGTTGTTATTATTCATTCAACACTATGTCACGGTCAACTTCCATGTGAAGGAATACCCAGACAATCTGACTTCTGATTCTGTTGTTATTAGTCATTCAACAATATGTCATGGTCAACTTCCATGTTAATAAACATGCATCAGTAATTCCATTTTAGCACTCTGGGAGGCCAAGGCAGATGGATTGCTTGAGCTTAGGAGTTTGCGGTCAACTTGAGCAAGAGCAAAACCTCATCTCTACTAAAACAGAAGAACTAGACTGGCACTGTGGGCACCTGTGGTCTCAGCTACCCAGGAGGCTAAGGCAAGAGGAACTCTTGAGCCCATGGGTTTGGAGGTTGCTGTGAGCTGTCATGCCAGGGCATACTAGCCAGGGCATAGAGTGAACTCTGTCTCCAAAAAAAAAAAAAATTCCATTTTAAGGGTGTAACAATTTGTATAACCAATCTCCCATTGTTGGGCATTCAGGTCATTTTCAATGATACAAACAGTGCCTTTTCTATGATACAAACATTACCATTATAAACATTCACTATATATGAGGTCTGACAGTTAAATTTGTAAACTTGCCACTGTGCACTTATGTTGGTAGCACTGTACAAATAATTCAGTAAGGTTTTCTTGTTTGTTGTTTTTTTAAGAGACAAAGTCTGACTTTGTCGCCCTCAGTAGAGTGCTGTGGCATCACAGCTCACAGCAACCTCCAACTTCTGGGCTTAGGCAATTATCTTGCCTCAGCCTCCTGAGTAGCTGGGACTATAGGCACCTGCCAAAACACCTGGCTATTTTTTTGCCAGGGCTGGGTTCAAACCCGCTGCCCTCAGTATATGGGGCTAGCATCCTACTTACTGAGCCACAGGTGCTGCCCCTGTTGTTGTTGGTTTTTTTTTTAAGAGACAAGCATCTCCCTTTGTTGCCCTTGGTAGAGTGCTATAGTGTCACAGCTCACAGCAACCTAAAGCTCTTGGGCTTAGGCAATTGTCTTGCCTCAGCCTCCCAAGTACCTGGGACTACAGGCACCCGCTACAATGCCCAGCTATTTTTTTGGTTGCAGCTTGGCTGGGGTCAGGTTTGAACCCGCCACCCTCAGTATATGGGGCCAGTGCCCTACTCACTGAGCCACAGGCGCCGCCCAATTCAGTAAGGTTTTATAACCTTGGTATGTCAGTGTCTCGCTGCTGTGTTCATGTCAATTTGTAGTAGTGTCTTGCTGATTGTGTTCACTATTGTTGTATGTTTTTGTGTGCTATCACAAGAATGTCAGCTTGAATTAAAGCAACAAACAAACATTTGTAAATTTCTTGTTAAACTTGTTGGCAAGAGCAGAAGTGAAATCGAGGACCTGTTAGTCCAAGTTTGTAGGGATAATGCCATGAAGAAAACAGAAGGGTACAAATGGATTAAAATGTTTTCCTGAGGGGAGAGAAAATGTCACTGATGAAGAGAAGTTAAGGAGGTAATAACGAACAGGACTGACAAAAACATTAGGAAAATTGGTCAAATTGTGCATCAAAATCATTGGCTGACTGTGAGAAGCATAGCAGACCAAGTAAACACTGATAGAGAAAAGTTAGGAAAATCTATTTTATTATTTTTTTTGAGATAGAGTATCACTCTTGCACAGGCTAGAGTGCCGTGGCATTAGCTTAGGTTACAGCAACCTTCCAACTCCTGGGTTCAAGCAATCCTCCTGCCTCAGCCTCCCTAGTAGCTGAGATTACAGGTGCCCACCACAATGCCCAGCTAATGTTTCCATTTTTAGTAGAAACAGGGTCTCACTCTTGCTCAAGCTGGACTCAAACTCTTAAATTCAAACTATCTCATGCCTTCGCCTCTCAAGAGTGCTAGGATTATAGGTGTGAGCCACTGCACCTGGCTAATTTTTATTCTATTACTAATGAGATTAGATATTGTTTATATGCTTATTAGACATTTTTAGTCTCTATTTTATGAGTTGTCTGGTTTTGTTCTTTGCTCTTATTTCTACTGCAGCTTTTGGGTGTTTCTTATTCACTTGTACAAACTTATTACATATTAAGGATGCTAACCTTTTGCCCTTAATATTTATTGATCATATCTGGGCTTAAATCCCTCCCAGGTATTATTTGCAATGAAGATAATTTGTTTTTTTAATGAGATGAGATTATATCATTTTATATAGAAGGTAGTTTTTAATGTTTAGAAATTATGAATGCAGGCAGGGTGTGGTGGCTTACACTTATAATCCTACCACTCTAAGAGGCTGGAACAGAAAGATCCTTGGAACTCAGGAATTCAAGACCAGCCTGATGAAGAGAGAGATCCCATTTCTACTAAAAAATGAAATAATTAGCCAGGCATTGTGGTGGGCACCTGTAGTCCCAGATACTCTGGAGGCTGAGGCAGGAGCATCACTTGAACCCAGAAATTTGAGGTTGCTGTGAACTAGGCTGATGGCATGGCACTCGAGCCTGGATGACAGAGTGAGACTTGGTCTCAATAAAAAGAAAAGAAATTATGAATACATACCTTAGAGCTAACTGCAGAAAATACCTATTCTAGAAACGTCTATAAAATAAAGGGATAGCTACATTGCAAGGGACCTTGCCCCTACTAGTGCTTCTGTATTGACATGGCCATTGCATTTTTATTGAAATTCATGTGTAATGAACCACTTCTGGTGTGCTAGTTATAAAATATGAGGTCTCTGCCCAGACTAAGAACTTGAGATAGGTAACGAGCTGCTTTGGAATTTGCTGGATTCCAGATAAAATTTTAGTAACCCCACTTTCCTATACTTTAGTTTTCCTTACTTCTAGAACTCGTGAACAGCAGCCACTCATATGTTCTCCTTTTCCTTTTAGACAATTCTTCTTCACTCCAGGAAGATGAAGAGGTAGAGATGGAGGCCATCGGCTGGCAGGCCAGCAGTCCAGCCATGAACGGGCATCCCGCCCCTCCAGTGACCTCTGCTCGTTTCCCCAGCTGGGTCACTTTTGATGACAATGAAGTCAGCTGCCCTTTGCCACCAATCACCTCTGCTCTGAAGCCGAATACACCACCTAGTTTATCAGTGATCCCAGATGTACCTTGTAACTCAACAGGGTCATTTAAGAAGCGAGACCGTCCCAAGAGCACTTTGATGAACTTGCCCAAAGTTCAGAAGCTGGACATTTCCTCTTTAAACCGTCCACCTTCCATAACGGAGTCTCCACCCTGGAGCGCAACTAACCCTTTTCTGAATAAGACTCTGCAGGATGTACAGCCCTCCCCTATCAACCCTTTTAGCGCTTTTTTTGAGGAGCAAGAGAGGCGCTCCCAAAACAGTGCCATTTCCAGTACCACAGGCAAAAGCCAGAGAGATTCCCTTATTGTCATCTACCAGGATGCCATCAGTTTTGATGACTCAAGCAAAAACCAGTCACATTCTGATGCTGTTGAAAAACTCAAACAACTGCAAATTGACGATCCTGATCAATTTGGTAGTGCAACGCTCCCTGATGACGACCCAGTAGCCTGGGTTGAACTAGATGCTCACCTACCTGGGTCAGCACCATCCCGGTGCAGGGATGGTTGGCCAATGATGCTGAGAATCCCTGAGAAGAAAAACATCATGTCTTCCAGGCACTGGGGACCAATCTTCATCAAACTGACCGACAGTGGCTACCTGCAGCTATATTATGAGCAGGGCCTAGAAAAACCATTTCGTGAGTTCAAGTTGGAGAGTTGCCATGAGATTTCAGAACCCCGGCTTCAGAACTATGATGAGAATGGCAGGATCCACAGCTTGCGGATAGACCGTGTCACCTACAAGGAGAAGAAGAAGTACCAGCCCAAACCTGCTGTGGCCCACACGGCAGAGAGGGAGCAAGTGATTAAGCTGGGTACCACCAATTACGATGACTTTCTGAGCTTCATCCATGCAGTTCAGGACCAGCTCATGAATCTCCCAGTGTTGTCAATGGACTTGAGTACAGTTGGCTTGAGCTACCTTGAAGAGGAGATCACAGTGGATGTCAGAGATGAATTCTCTGGTGTTGTCAGAAAAGGAGACAACCAGATTCTCCAGCACCATGTCTTGACACGGATCCACATTCTGAGTTTCCTTTCTGGGCTTGCAGAGTGCCGCCTGGGTCTCAATGACATCCTCGTCAAAGGGAACGAAATAGTTTCACGGCAGGACATCATGCCCACCACCACCACAAAGTGGATCAAGCTCCATGAGTGCCGCTTTCATGGGTGTGTGGACGAAGATGTGTTTAACAACTCACGGGTTATTCTGTTTAACCCCCTGGACGCCTGCCGGTTTGAGCTGATGCGGTTCAGGACGGTGTTTGCTGAGAAGACCTTGCCTTTCACACTCAGGACAGCAGCAAGCATCAATGGGGCGGAAGTGGAGGTGCAGAGCTGGCTGAGGATGTCAACTGGCTTCTCCTCTAATAGAGACCCCCTCACTCAGGTTCCCTGTGAGAATGTGATGATCCGTTACCCTGTGCCCAGTGAGTGGGTGAAAAACTTCCGTAGGGAGAGTGTCCTGGGGGAAAAGTCTTTGAAAGCCAAAGTGAACCGGGGGGCAAGTTTTGGCTCCACTAGTGTCTCTGGCTCTGAGCCTGTCATGAGGGTCACCCTGGGAACTGCCAAGTACGAGCATGCCTTCAACTCCATTGTGTGGAGGATAAACCGACTGCCTGACAAAAACTCAGGTGGGTAGTGGTTTCTCTTCTGGGAGAACAGGCACATGGATGTGAAAGAGCTGAGGTCAAGGCTCTACCTCAGAGAGGGAGAGTTCTCTGTGTGAAGTGTGACGGGAATGGGGATGGAGGGAGAGTGGGACCAGGAAAGTAAAAATACTTGAGCAAAGCGAGTAATGAGCATAGGGGGCCAATTCACTCTTATCTTTTCACCCCCTCATCAGCATATACCTTTCATAGAACTGTGTATTATTCCAGCTGAGCTGCTAGGCAGCTTTCCAAGGCAAGTCTGAACTTTTTTTTTTTTTTAAGAGACAAATGTCTTGCTCTGTTGCCCAGGCTAGAGTGTTGTGGCAGCATTATAGCTCACAGCAACCATCTCCCTCAGCCTCTTGAGTTGGTAGGACTACAGACGCTCCACCACACCCATCTAATTTATTTTTTCACTTATTTATAAATATAAGGGGTCTCACTGTGTTGCCTAAGCTGATCTTGAACTCCTGTGCGCAAGTGGTCCTCCCATCTCGGCCTCCCAAAATGCTGGGGTTACAGACATGAGGCACCATTCCTGGCCAGATTCTGAATTTTTATTCTTTTGGGACTCATTGAAGTATTAGCTGTGGTACTCGAAGTGATCCATTTCCAGATCCTGGAAGTCTTCTTGGTTCTGAAGAGGTATCTTTCTCACTCTCCCTTGATGTAGGTAAAGAGGCCAGTTTATGGGCAATCAGTCATCTATCCAGTACATGGAGAAGTTAATTTTTTTTTTTTTTTTTTTTTGAGACAGAGCCTCAAGCTGTCCCCCTGGGTAGAGTGCTATGGCATTACAGCTCACAGCAACCTCCAACTCCTGGGCTCAAGCGAGTCTCCTGCCTCTGCCTCCCAAGTAGCTGGGACCACAGGCGCCCGCCACAACGCCCGGCTATTTTTTGGTTGCAGCCGTCATTGTTGTTTGGCAGGTCCGGGCTGGGGATTCGAACCTGCCACCTTAGGTGTACGTGGCTGGCGCCTTAGCCGGTTGAGCTATAGGCGCCGAGCCGAGAAGTTAATTTTATGACACCAGCCTCTCTGTGTGAGGCCTGTCAATTATAACATCTCAGACTCAGAGATGGGGGATGGGAACAAGAAGTGGCCTTCAGTCTGGCAAAAAGTAGAGAAAGGAGTGTTTGATTTAAACAAAAGTAAATAATAAAAGCTTACCAGCCCTCGCTTAGCTGCTCACAGCTATGGAGGATGCTTTTGTGGTTGACTGAGCCCAGAAGGCAATTACTTTCCCCCTGGGTCCAGTGAGATTTTTGAAATGACGAAACTAGGGAGCTGTCAAGCCAGCACTCTTATCCTTCCTTCTCAGAGTAAGTCTGGGTGACCCCAGTGGCAGGCAACAGGCCCATGATCCTGTGAGCCTTTAAATTCCTTCTCTTCTTGTTTGTAACAAGTTGTGTCCATCTGTTTACAAAAGTGGATATGCTAGCTGAGCAAGAAGAATAAGGATTTGGAAAAACTCGTGACTGAAATGTCTCTCTTATGTGGCTGTCCCTTTTTTGCATTCTGACTATTACATTCTAACGGTGTGTTCAGTCGTCCTCTCCTGCTGCGTGTGGAGGGGTTGTGTTATCTTATCCTAAATGAAATAGGATGTGATGGCCAGGGGCAATACGATCTGGCCGGCTCCCCAGGTGGTGCGGGGAGTGGACACACACCCGGGCCTTCTGTGTCAGACGCTGGGAGTAGCAGTGCAAACCGAGGAGACAATTGGGCCTCTGTCAGAGGCTCAATGTGCTACCCCCTATTTCTAAACTGACAGAATTTTTAAAACAAAGTCTTCCTGTGCCTGCTTGTTCATATCCCCTGAAGTCAGCCCTGTATTCTCCCAGTGATAGATAGCACTGCGATTTCTACCTCAGCTGTGGGGCCTGCTTTGAAAGAGGAAAGGAGACACCCTGGATTCTCCTTTGGCACAGAGGCCCTTGGAAAGAGAAAACCATGGAATTTCTGGATTTTCAAGCCTGAAGGGACCTTACAGATAACTTAGTCAAACCTGTTCATTCTACAGGTGAGAACAGTAAAGCCCAGGAAGTGCCATAACTCAACTTAAGTTCCACAGCCACATCCAGGGGACTTGTCTCAATACTGCAGCTACCCCTTAGTGAGAGGAACAAACCAGGCACAGGCTTGACATGATTTCCACTGTGAGAGCAGACTTTGATAGTTTTCCCAGTGTGTACAAACATATCTTATTGTTTCCAAAGTGGTTTTTCTCAAATATTTAAAATTACTATGTGAAGGATTTTTTATTTAATTTTTATTTTATTTTGTATATATATTTTTAGACACAGTCTCAAGCTGTCACCCTGGGTGGAGTGCTGTGGCGTCATAGCTCACAGCAACCTCAGATTCTTGGGTTTAAGCAATTCCCCTTGCCTCAGCCTCCCAAGTAGCTGGGACTACAGGTGCCCACCACAGTGCCCGGCTGCTTTTTTGTTGCAGTTGTAATTGTTGTTTTAGCAGGCTGGGTTCAAACCTGCCAGCCTGTGTGTATGTTGCTGGTGCCCTACCCACTGAGCTACAAGTGCCACCTGAGGGCTTTTTTTTTGAGACAGAGCCTCACTCTGTTGCCCTGGGTAGAGTACTGTGGTTTCATAGCTCACAGCAACCTCAAACTCCTGGGCTCAAGCAATCCTCTTGCCTCAGTCTCCTAAGTTGCAGGGACTATAGGCACCTGCCACAATATCCAGCTAGTTTTAGCTTGCATACCATTTATGTATAAGTTTCCAGATTACTGGAACCTCATTTGTAGAAGATTTTTGCAATACAAGATAACATCAGGCTATTTGGGTATTTCTTAGACACTCAACCTCTATTACTGGTTTTGCTGTCAGTGTTATATAATATTTTTAATAGCAAGACACCCCCCCACCCCCCGAGGCTTCTTATATGTTTTCTGGCCAACTATATCTTTCCGTAACAGTGAAGGAAATCGGTAGCTCCCTGTTCTGGTGCGCACTGGAGATGCACAGGGTCTGGAGTCCCCTCAGGACTGCAGTTCTGCCCCAGTTCTCATATTCATCGTGTCCAGCACCTTTCTTCCCATCTGCTCCAACTGTGAATCTGGAGAGTTGATGATCATCTGTCAGCAATAGCCCTTTTCTGAGCTCTCTTGTCTAAGTATTCAGACAAGTTTGGGAGGATACAGGTTATTTTTCATAATCCTTATGCCCCTTCACAGTAAAGGAAGCTGAGGTCAAACCCTCCGTGAAGCATTCCCACCTGTGGTGGCCCTGCATGCCCCGGCCCCAGGGAGCAGCATAGTCAGACCTCTGGCAGTGGGGGCCAGTAGGTTAGCATTCCTGTGTTCCTGGCATCCTAAGCCTATAGCCACAGCCTTTGCATTCTAAAGTGGCACCCTGAAACTGCTGCCAGTGACGACAGCCATGCTATGGGCAGCTTCCCTCTCTGAGCTCTCCACCGACCCCTCCCGCTCTCACTTCAAGAGTTTTTCCTTAATCTTAGAAGGCACCAGAACAAGTCCTACTTCAGCCAAAACATCATGCCTGCAATCCCAGCACTCTGGGAGGCTGAAGTGGGTGGGACTGCTTAAGCTCGGGAGTTTGAGACCAGCCTGAACAAGAGCAAGATCCCTTCTCTACTAAAAATTAAAAAATAGCCAAGTGTTGTGAGCACTTATAGTCCCAGCTGTGTGGGTGACTTATTATTAGTACATCTATGGCACACAATTAAAATATCAAATGGATTAATTTTCAGATAATGTAATTTTTACTATTCTGTATATCTTATTTAAATTTTTTTCCTAAAAGCAAGTACAGATTTTTCAGTTATTACTTTTTTAGAAATAATTGTTAAAACATGTTACATTTGTGAAACTGAGCAAAACAAATACTTCACTGTGATAATGTTTTCCTTGGAGGGCGGGTGTGTTACGTCCTCACTCTCTGAGGTTCAAAAGGCCTGCCCAGACCAATAAAGAACATTGAAGTTATTTCTTTGGGGAAACTGGGATAACTGTTTCAGTTACATAATGAAGTCACAGTCATTTCATGTTGTTTATTCATAGCCAATTGCTATCTGGGGGTTCTTACGTTCTCCACCCTGCAAACCTGGTCTTGAGGCTTGGGGACCATGAGGTTATGATTCAGCCCGGTTAAGAACACCCGGTTAAGTCAGATTAGTGGCTTCGATTCTTTGATCTGCCACCTTCTAGTTGTGATGTTAGACAGCTTACTTTGCCTCCCTAAGCCTCAATTTCCTCATCTATAAAATGAGGATTTTCTTATGACCTCAAGGGATTATAATGAAGATTCCCTGAGAATATGTGTAAAAGATGTAGCATAGTATCAGGCATCAGGTGCTTAACAAATGTCTCCTGTCATTTGTCGGACAAATGACAATGATGTTTCAGCAGTCATAGAAGTAAGCGTTCTTTTTACTTCAAAAATCTAATAATTTTAAACCCTAAGTTTGCCATCCACGTACAGTGGAATGACCCATAGATTTATGAAATTACAGAGCAGCAAGGGATTCTGTTAGGCACTGTCAAGCCCACCTTTTCCTAACTCTCCCCTCAATGCCAAACTTTACCAAAGAGTGATTAAGACCTGGAGAGGAAAAGGGCTTGGACTTGGGGCAGGAACTCTGCTACTTAGCAGGAGAGCAGGAAGTCAAACCCAGGTGTTGTAGTTGGAGGTCTGTCCTGTTTCCAGTGCTTCATGAATACATGTGAGCTGTTTATAGGATCTTTGTCATTTGTGTATTTCGTTAACCCACAAAACATACCAAAAGCTTTCTGAAAATATGAAATGCTATTAGGAAAATTTATCTTTCAAAACAAAGCGATTTTGCTCCAGGTGTCTATCCCTGATGTTTTATTAAGTGCTAAGTGCTGATCCCTTTTATTCCATTCTTCCTATTAGCAGCCCCTGTTTCTTTTTTTCATTTTTTTTTTGAGACAGAGTCTCACTATCACCCTGGGTAGAGTGTCGAGGCATCATAGTTCACCACAACCTCAAACTCTTGGGCTTGGGCAGTCATCTTGCCTCAGCCTCCCAAGTAGCTGGGACTACAGGTGCACCTATTGTGCCTGGCTAGTTTTTCTATTTTTAGTAGAGTCAGGGTCTCAGTCTTGTTCAGGCTGGTCTTGAACTCCTGAGCTCCTACCCCTGTTTCTTAGTATTTGTGCTCTATTCACCTGTCACTCTGATCTAAGCGGGTGGAATGACCCCTGTTTCTCAGGCCTTGGGTTTTATTGCTACAATACCCGGCTGCTGTAATCAAATGGTGTCATATCAAAGGGTCTGAGGCACACAGAGTGTGATTTCTGCCCAGACAGATCCTCTTGCTCAGGTTGGGACCCTCTAAGGGACTGCCAGGTATTGAGACTGCAGGCCTCCTTTGTTACTGAGGTGGCTTCTCTGTCCTGCTTGCCCCTGCCAAAGAACCTGATCTCTGAATTGTCTTTTTTCATAGCTTCTGGTCACCCACACTGTTTCTTTTGCCACCTTGAACTTGGCTCTGACCGGGAAGTGCCTTCCAGATTTGCCAACCATGTGAATGTTGATTTCAGCATGCCCACAACTTCTGCCTCCAAAGCTGCTGTAAGATCCATCTCTGTGGAAGACAAGGCTGATATCAGGAAGTGGGTCAACTATTCTGCACACTACAGCTACCAGGTAGCCTTAAGAGGTGTCTGGCTGGTACTGCCAAGTCCATTTGTTCACCCCACTACCCCCTCCTTGCTCTTTTTAGCAGTGCTTACCATGGTTACCAGGTATTCTCTTCTACCTTAGAGGAAGTTTACTGTACCCAGCTGTGGATGAGTCTGCTCTGATTTAAATGAACGGTCTGTCTTGTAGCCAAAAGAAAGTTTGAAAAAAATAATAATAAAGAGGGGAATACAATGTCTTTCTTTCATCATCATCATCAACAAAAAGTGAATGGGGTCGGGGGTTATTACTCACTTGTAATAAAATTTATTACAGAGTAGTAAACTTGGAAGTGTAGGAGGAACATTAGCAAAGTGTTAACCCAAAGCATGTATTTCATCTACAGAGCCAGACACCGTGACCTGGACAAGCACTGGGCTGCTACAGGACAAAACTAAAAAGCCAAGGAAATTTCTGTAACAGGGTCAGGGTGTGGAGGGAATACTCAGAGTGGGAATTTTCTGACATAAATAGAAAACAGTATCCTCCTGAAGAGTTAGACTTCTGTAGTAGAAGATTAAATGCCAAAGATTTGAAAAGCAGGTTTATTGATAAAGGATTTTACAAAGTGTTTTAATAAAGTGTTCTATTCATGGTTAATGTCCTTACATTTATAGGGTGAGTTATTGTTCCCTGTAAATGTTTCCTTAGTTGTGTGAACTAAAACATTTAACTACCAAAAAGAACAAATACTCCATCTTGTGGCCAGGAAAAAAATGGCACTTCTCTCAACCCTGTTCTGTATTGAATTGTTACTTTGAAGTGAAGCATCAGAAATATCTAAAGTGGTGCTAAGAGGAGCACCCTCAGGCTCCGCGCCTGTGGCGCAAGTGGCTGAGGCGCCAGCCACATACACCTAAGGTGGTGGGTTTGAATCCAGCCCAGGCCTGCCAAACAACAATGACAGCTGCCACCAAAAAAAAAAAAAAAAATACCCAGGCATTGTGGCAAGCACTTGTGGTCCCAACTACTTGGGAGGCTGAGGCAGGAGACTCGCTTGAGCCCAGGAGTTGGAGGTTGCTGTGAGCTATGATGCCACAGCACTCTACCCAGGGGGGACAGCCTGAGGCTCTGTCTCAAAAAAAAAAAAAAAAAAAAAGAGGAGCACCCTCAGTTGTGAAATTCCTGAGCTTAGAAGATTCCCTGCCTGACTTATCAAAGACCAGTTAAGATGTAGACTAACTGATTACTTCCCTTGTAATTGCAGCTACACTATTGTGCAGAAGATGTGGTAGAGCTGTCAACAGCTCCAGTCATGTTTGGAGGTTTTTTAAGGAGATTAAAGTATTGGGATGAAAACAGTCAATTACAGAGGAATTCATTCATTTGATAATCCTTTGTCAATTGCCTACTGTATTCCTACATCATTGCATAAAATATTAAACAAGATCCTATTCCTGACCACAGAGCCTGTGGTATAGTGGAGCAGGACAGTGTACAAGGTACAGTGGCAATGCTCGCAGGGAGAAGCACCTGACTCGACGTAATGAGAGAAGAGGCCTCAAAGAAGGGGTGACCTGTGAGCAACTTGCAAAGCAAAGAATTCAAATTTTCCAGGTGGCCCCGGTGAGAGAGGGTATTCCAGACCGAGTGAAGAATGTGTGTGAAGGGAGTCATGATGAACTCAGAGTCAATAGCTCCAGTGTGGTCAAAGTCCAAAACCTTAGCAAAATTACAAGGCATCTCAGAGAACCTACTGAGGTGTTCTATTTTGATCCATTTGCTCATGTTCATGCTTTTCTCCTCTTTTTGATATTTATCTCCAACTTTTATTCTTGGCAGGTGGAAATTGAGCAAAAAAAAAGTTTGAAGCCAGACTTCGAAGGAGATGAAACGGAAAATCCCAAGGAGTGTGGAGTACAGTGACAAGACCCTACAGCAAAGAACCCTGACTCAAGAGTCACGACAGGGTGTCATCTTACCTAGCTGAAGCTTAAGTCAATGCCTGCTGTGGCCACTCCCAAGTTGGGAACAGTGTGTCAGACCGTCCTGTTCGCAGTTACGTGCGTTTTAACAGGAAATCCTGAGGTGGTTGCTTTGGAGAAGCTCTTTGACTCTGCTCACACCTGAAGCACATGGTTTACCTGACTTCTGGGACTGACAGTATAATTAAGCCTCCTTATCTCTCTCTGCTTATCTCACAACACTGGAATGTGCTTTGTTTTGACAGGAGAGAACCTCCCACATCAGTGTTGACATGATTTCCTTGTGAAAGTCATCTGTCACTCACATGAGTTTCTAGAAAAGACCGTCTTGAGAAGTTAAGTAAGAATCTATCTTTTGCTCCCTCTAGAAAAGGTTCAGAAAAGGTGCAAATAAATTTCCTCTTTGGGTCTACTAGACCTTTGGCAGGTCTGTCTGTTCTGTGATTGTTAACACTATACAACAGAACTTTTGACATGTTTCCCTCCTGGCTCTAGATTGTTTAGATTGAAACCCTTTTTCTATCTTTCTAAGGTTGGTTTCAGTCCCAGGATTTGCTATCCTGAGTTATAATAGACAATGGATAGACCCAATAGGATACGTTTTTATTCTGTGAATGGACCCACATTCATCAAAAGGGCAACTATTAAAGGAAGGCACAAGATTAAGCTTATTTTTCTTCATTCTGGGGAAAAGAGACATTAAGTGTAAGATTATATTCACTTTTCAGAAGATAGTTTCAATCTTAGTGAATACCTAAATTCATACTGAAAAAGACAGGCTACTTCTGAATCCTGAAACAACTATGGGCATATATTACCTCAAGCATTTGTAAAGGGCATTTGGGAGTTCTTTTTATACCTCATAGTCAGTAGACCAGTGTATGTCTCCTTAACCCAAACTTTATGTAGGAAATTTAGGCTGAAAAGATAATTTTAAAAGCTATTCTAAAATTAAGCTTGAATGAGCTTTCCCCCAAAATTCAGAATTTAATAATCACAGTATTTTAATAGATCAAAAAGGTCTCTCTAGCATAAAGAGGGGGGAAAAACCATATTTTTCTAATATTGGGTATATTGAAATCCTGAGTTCAGTGGTCAGAACTCCCTTTTTCCTCCTTCTGTTCCTAGGACAGTCATCATCTTTCTCGACTATCCCTGCTCTCTTCTGCCTCTTATTTACACCGTGGTGTTCTCTCCAGTGAAGAAAAGAGCGAGGGGACAGGGGGCAGACATGAGCTCATTTGCCAATGAGGCAGAAATAGACAGCAGTATCTCCAGTTTGGGGAGCTGTTAGATTCAAGATTAATTTATTAAGTGAACAGTCATTGAATACTAACTATGTACTGACACTAGCATATAGAAACCTTTACAGTGTTCTGAAATAATCTGAATCTAAGACTGAAACTAAAAGAGTGACATTGCATAGGCATTAATGAGAAAGCCTGTTCTGGGATTTTAAACTGTGGCCCTCTGAGTAGAGTGGAGTGTGTATTTGATGGGAAGGATATTAGAAAGACCTGGTTTCACAGCAGTTTACATAGAAATGTTTTCTTAGGGAAATGGAAGTTCAGTTTTAAATTAGCAACACATTGTGGCTATTCACAAAGCTAATGCACTCAACCTGTGTTAAAAGTTCAGGGATGCCATAAAGGTTAGTCTACATCTAGTTGGAGTGTTGGGTACAATTATGGGTACCATATTTTAAGATGAGTTAATAAATTAATCAACTAATAATTGATTGTGTCCATAGGCAGGTGACCAGGGTTGTGAAGGGTCTGACTCTTTAGGGAACAAGGTAATAGCTTTTGCAAAGAACAGAAGGTATTGTGGGAAGCAGGAAGCAGGTGCAGACAAGGAGGGAATGATGTGATAGCTGCCTCGAAATTTCTGTTGAGCTGTAAAATGGAAGGGGAATTAGACTTCTTTGTGACTTTAAAGAGCAAAATATGAACAAAAAGGAACTTAACAGATGACAGATGATGCTTCAATATAAAAAATTTCTAGCAAATGTTCTGAAGAGGAATGGACTCATAGTAAAATTTCCTATTGGTGCAAATGTCTGAGATTTAAAATAACTGCCTACCTCAGGCGCTATGAAAAGGACTCTGACATTGGATGTGGTCTTAGATGACCACTGGGATCCCTTCTAGATGTAGGTGTAATCTCAATAAGGTTCTCTAAGTCAGTTGTCTTTTCTTTCAGATATGGTTTTTCATGCTCTGTGAAATACAGTGGAATCCCTTTGAGGTCTTCGGCAAGGGATTCCAAGGCATATTCTGCCGCCCTCCGTGCACTAAAGTATTTGAGATTCCTCATAGAACAACCAGATGGGTTAGGGAATTGTCAAGGTGAATGAAGGTCATCCCGGCACCTTCTTTACTTATTGAAGCCTAGAATCCTGTCAAGATCTCAGCCTCATCTTTTGGTGTCACATGTGTTTGTGAGATCTTATTTTTCCCCTCTTGGTTAATTCTCAATGCCTTCATGCTTTTTTTCTTTCTTTTTTTTTTTTTTAATAGAGATGAGAGTTATGTTGCTTGAGATGGTCTCAAAGTTCTGACTTCCAGCAGTCCTCCTACCTTGGCCATTCAAAATGCTGGGATTACAGGCATGAGCCACCATGCCAGCTGGGATTCTTCTTTTTTTTAAACTCAAGAATTGAGAAAATCCCACTTAAGTTATCTACATTTAGCAAGCAAATTATTAACTTTTTTGTTGTTGTTGCAGTTTTTGCCAGGTCTGGGCTTGAACCTGCAATTCCTGGTATATGGGGCCAGTGCCACAGGTGCTACCCCAAATTATTAACTTTTTAAAAATCTACCTTGAGGCTCGGTGCCTACCACATACACCAGATCTGACAGGTTCAAATCCAACCTGGGCCTGCCAAACAACAATGACAACTACAACCAAAAAGTAGCCAGGCATTATGGCAGGTGCCTGTAGTCCCAACTACTTGGAAGGCTGAGGCAAGAGAATCGCTTAAGCCGAGGAGTTTGAGGTTGCTAGGAGCCGTGATGCTATGGGACTCTTCCAAAAGCAACATAGTGAGATTTTTTTTTTTTTTTAGAGTCTCACTTTATCGTCCTTAGTAGAGTGCCTTGGCATCACATAGCTCACAGCAACCTCCAGCTCCTGGGCTTAGGTGATTCTCTTGCCTCAGCCTCCCGAGTAGCTGGGACTATAGGCACCTGCCACAACATGCGGCTATTCATAGTGAGATTCTGTCTCAAAAAAAAACTACTACCTTGATTCCTTCAAATTTGTTTTCCCTCTACTGCTGTTAGGAAACTGACAATATACAGCACTTACAGATTTCGGGTTTTGAAACACACTGTATTATGGTCCATTGTTTCACTTCCGAGAAACACAGTGGACGGTGCCCTTTCCGATTCACTTGGGCAGGTTTCAACTTGCTCAGCTTACAGTTATCGCTGGGAGGACAGCATTTATTTCTGTCCACATGGATTGGCATTTGTTTCTGTCCACCCAGATTTTACGTTTCTTGATTTTTGCATATCTCAAAACTTTCCTAATGACCCATGTACTATGTATTTTTAGACCAACTGTTTTACTAGGTCTAAATAACATACGTAGAAATAACCTGCATAGAGCCCGCAGATGGGCAAATAACCTTTTTGACATGCTGATTCTCTGTTTGCCACCCTGGACCTGGGTTTCTACTTTATAAAATTGTTTTCGTGGTCACAAATAATTCTTGTCTGTTACCAATAATGTGAAAATATAAAAGTGAATTCATTTTACCAATAAGTAGCACATAGTTCTACTATTAGAACATAAATTATATATCACATGATGTCAAGAGCTGTGCTTTCTTTTGAGTCTGGGACTGGCTTTTCCAGTAAAAGGATAACAACTTTATAGTAAAAGGATAAGAAATGTACCACCATGCTATTTCAAACAAGAAAACACAAGGCACTTTGTAGGGGGACCATTAAACCCCTTTTGCCTGTTTTTATAGATACAGTACTAATTATTCCTTATCAAAAGTTCACAATTCATATTAACTATTTGGACAGTTTTGTTCTTTTTTTTTCTATTTAGTTTTCCTGCTCTTTCATGCATCATTGGCAGGGCTCATCACCCTTGAGAACATTTTGTTTTTTTAATTTAAAATATTTCTTATTTGAAACAAGACTAATTTCTAATCAAATCCAGCAGTTAATTTATTTCCCTAGAATCTCATGTTTCTAAGAAATATGATCCATAGAGGAGGCATGGAGTGTCTTACTCTTTGAGGTCCAGGGTGGCAGACAGCTTTGTACCCAACACAAAGCTTAGAATATAATAGGGTTCAGCCACCTTAAGTCCTTGCCAATAGGGCAAACATATATTTAAGAAATAAAGGAAAATTACTTGGGTGTTCAATAAAGGTTTGCTAAAAGAATATTGACCCTGAGACTCTTAAGACAACCCTTACCTATCATCAAATACTCATATCAAAGCAAGCAAACATGCTTTTATTTCCTAGAGGACTTAAATAATTTTGCTTTCCTCATATTCCTGCCTCCAGAATCAACTAATAATATTGTCAGCACTCCAGACACTTAAGTGTGCTGCTGAATTTAAGACACAGTGTCCTTGATTCCTATTGAAAAACATTTCTCTGCCCAAAGGCACAGCAGCATAGATGCTGTCCATAGTCAAGATTGTTGGTTTTGTTCCTAGAAGTCGGACGGGTCCATGAGCCCCCAACTTTGCCTATCTGAATAGTCAGCAGGAGTAAAAAACATTTGATAAAAAGCACAGCTGGTCTTGGGGTGCTAGGTCTTTGTTTTTCCCACTATTAACCACTGACCAGTGTTAACTATGTGCTTATATTCTCACCATAGTAAGATAGAGGTCTGAAATAAGGCAGAAACTGATGATTTCAGAGTGGTTTAGAGTTCCTAAGTTGAGTGCTAGGAAAGCAGAGAATTAACTGAATTTTTCTGAAAAGCTCTGGGAATATTAAATTGGTATTAATAGGAAGCACTACCATTAGCCTACTTTTAGAAGTTCCCCCTCTTGGGTAGGGTAACATTCACTCTTCTAAGAATGATTGTCAGGTTAATTCCAGCATATGTAGGTAGAGTTTGGGTCATGCTAAGGATGCAATTTAATAAGAATTTCAAACAAAATTAATAAAATTTAAGTCCACAAAAAGTATCATGTGGAGAATGAATGATCTCTAACACTTCACTACCATGTCCATCCAAATCATGACAACTCTTCACATAAACTTAGGGTACTCTCACCAAGCTTCTAAAGATCTTTTCTAAACATTACCAATGTCAAAGTGCCAGTTCTCTACAAATCATTTCTTTCTTCTTTTTTTTGAGACAGAACCTTAGTAGAGTACTTGGTGTCACAGCTCACAGCAACCTCAAATTCTTGGGCTTAAGCGATTTTCTTGCCTCAGCCTCCCAAGTAGCTGGGCCTACTACAGCCACCCACTACAATGCCCAGCTATTTTTTAGAGACAAGGTCTCGCTCTGGTTCAGGTGGTCTTAAACTCATGAGCTCAGGCAATCCACCTTCCTTGGCCTCCCAGAGTGCTACAGATTACAGGCATGAACTACCACCACACCTGGCCTCAAATCACCATTTCTTAATTACAGTTCTTTTAAATGAGACCGGCATTAGGCATTAGATATCATGACTGACGGATGTGTATTTAAGGAATTAAAAGTGAAGGAATGTAATGTAACCATAAATGTAAACAAATGTATACATTAGTAATATTTTCCCTTGTATCGACTAAAATAAGAATGTGGAATTTTTACATTTCTTTTAGTGTGCCTTAGCAAATCTGCTGGAGAAAGAAAGCCCTTTGTTTTGAGAATCAAGTTGCAGTTCCAAGCCTGTAAAGGCAGAAGCTATCCATAGTAATATGTTTGGTGGCATCTGGAGAGAAGCAAATAATAGAGTGTAACAAAAAATTATAAAAGAGCAGTTTTTAAAAGCTAGAATTTCAATATGAAAAGATGTAGAGAGATAACAAATACAGCCTTGGGCTTCAAGCCTCAGAATACTTAAACTAGAGGTGGTGTCTTAAAGTAGGAAGCTCTAGGAAAAAGAAAAGATTGTACAGCGGGGGGTATACAATAGAAAATCAATCAACTGAAGCATTTATCGAGAGTACTCCAGTCAAGGTGCTGCATTAGCAGCCAGCTTCCCTAAAGGACACCAAGGGTTTTTATAAAGTCACTGATAGGCCTGCCATATGGATTTATTAGGGGAAAATTGGACTTTCTGTGAATCTTTAAGGGACAGAGTCCTGGAGACAATCACTATGTTAAGTGACCTGCTATTTTCCCAATTGGGCTTTAATTGCTTCAGATAAAAAGTGAGGAAGTTGGACTAATTGTTCCCTCAGGTCCTTTCCAGCTCTAGTTTTATGAGTTATTTTACAAAATATCTTCTGGTGCCACTTTCTGTGATACTTCATATGTTCAATATTACTCTTCATATACTCTTAAGAACCAAGAAATTCAAATTTTGAGGACTGGGGAAATCGGCTGGTCCATCTTTTCCCTTTTTGTCGTCTCTACTTTTTAATCACCTTCCCAGACACAGAAGCACAGAAAACTCTACAATCCTATATTTTGCAGTTGCCTTCAAAGCAGAGATTAAGAAGGAGGATCAAAGAGGGTGGTGAAGGTCAGCTGGAAGACTACTCTGGAAGCTCCACAGGCGTCAGCCCACAAAACAGTGGTGTGAGTGCAGAGAGGCATAGATCAGCCTCTAAAACGGATGTTAGAGTTTGAAGCAGAAGTAGGCCTAACCCTCTAAGGTACAAAAATGTTAGGATGTGGGATGTCAGGATGGTCACCAATTTATAGATCTCTACTTTTATGCAAGTATGAGACTGCGGAAAATGAAGGAGAAAACGTTCTATAAACATCCTGGGACTCCTATAAGTTTGGCAAAAGCAGATATGAGAGAAAGCACCATCCTCCTCCACTTGCCATCCTCACTGTCTCTTAGTAACACCAAAATGTGGTTTAAAAATGAAACCATGTACGAGCTATTACACAAAAATAGCATCTCTTTGGTGGTGTACTGAGGTGTGATTTTCGTCTCTTTCTGGTTGTACTTAGCTGTGTTTGGTCGATTCCAACTAGACAGAGGAAGGAGTTCCAGCACCCCCTTCCTGTGCTTTGCTGGGTTTCTGCCTCAGATCAAACCCTCAACTCTGATTGTGCACACTGTCTAGCCACACCGTGACAGAAGCTGTAAGCACTGTCACTCGCCTCCCATGTGCTTTAGGATGAGCAACCGCACTGGTGACCTGTGGGAGTGGTTCTGAGAAAGCAGATACGTGGTCAGATCCCAGCAGAAGTATGGGGATGAGGGAAGAAGGATATGAACTCCTCTGACCTTAAGCCAGCATTCATTTAACCTTTGTGCCCACTTGCCAATAGAACCTGGAGAAACTTTATCATAGTCAAGAGATTCATTCGAATCAGTGTTTTAGTCAGGTGGTGACAGAGGAGCACCCCTCCTCACCCTCCACTGCTGTCACATCCATGGCGAGTTTTAGTGTCAGGATGGATGAACCCAAGATCCAGTGACTAATTCAGCTAATCCAAGGCTTGCATTTTCCTTCATCATCC